TGTCAAGGTGTGTTCCACTATGCTATTTTTAAAAGGTTTTTATCACGAAAGGATGTTGTACTTTATCTAAATCTTTCTCTGCATCTATTGAAATAATCATATAATTTTTATTCTTCATTTGGCTTATGATATATATCACCTTTACTGATTTGTATATGCTGGAGCACACCTGCATCCCTAGATAAATCCCACTTGGTCTGGGTGGATGATCATTTGGATATGTTGTTTTGGATTTGATTTGCTAGCTATTTTGTTGAGGATTTTTGCATCTATGTTCATCAGGGGTATTGATCTATAATTCCCTTTTTTTCTCATATCTTTTTGTAGATTTGGGATTAAGGTAATGTTGGCCTCATTTGATGAGCTTGAAATGACTCCCTGAAATTAGTACTTCCTGAAAACTTTGGCAGAATTCATCAGTGACGCCATCGGCCCAAGGCTTTTCTTGTTGAGGGGCTCTCTATTACAGATGCGATCTCAGCCTTGGTCACTTGTCTACTCATGTTTTCTGTGTCTTTGTACCTCAGTTGTGGTAAATTATATGTATCCAGAAATCTACCCATTGCCTGCTAGCATATACCTATTTCTAATCATTCATAAGACCTCAAAAGCATACACAATAAAAGCAAAGACAGACACATGGGATTATGTCAAGCTAAGAGGCTTCTGTACAGTAAAAGAAACAATGTAAAGAGGCAGCCAACAGAATGGGAGAAAATATTTGAAGACTATGTATCCAATAAAAGATTAATGATTAATATCCAGAAGATATAAAGAACTCAAGAAACTTAGCAACAATAACACAATCCAGATAAGAAATGGACGAAGGATATGAACATGCATTTTAAAGGGTAAAATAAAATGGCCAACAGACACACGAAAAATTGCTCAGGATCACTACACATAAAAGAAAATGTGAATAAAAATCACAATGAGGAATCACTCCAGTTAGAGTGACAGTCATCCAAATAACAAATGCTGTTGAGGATGTGGAGAAAAAGGTGTCCTTATACACTGCTGGTGGTGATGTAAACTGGTACAACCATTATGGAAAACAGTAAAGAGAATCCTCAGAAAACTAAACTAAATCTACCATATGAGCCAGCTGTGTGTATGCTTCCTCGCATTGGAAGATGGGGGCAAATGCTGGGCTTCTCTATACAGTCATCTTGAATCAAGAATTACTAAAATTTTTTCTTAAAACAGAGCTTTTAAATGACTATGGGGGAGATCGGATTGGTATCAAAGTAGGTCTTGGGGCCAGCACTGTGAAGAAACTGGTAAAGCCACCACCTGCAGTGCTGGCATCCCATATGGGCGCTGGTTCGATTCCCAGCTGCTCCAGTTCCAATCAAGCTCCCTGCTAATGTGTCTAGGAAAGCAGCAGCAGATGTCCCAAGTCCTTGGTCACCTGCACCCACACGAAGACCTGGACGAAGCTCCTTGCTTTGGCCTGGCCTAGCTCAGCCCTGGCCGTGGAGCCATCTGGGGAGTGCACCAGTGGATGCAAAATCCTTCTCTCTCTCTCTCTCTCTCTCTCTGTGTGTGTGTGTGTGTCTACCTCTCCTGCTTTGTAATTCCTTCAAATAAAATAAATAAATCTTTTTTCAAAAAAAATCAAGAACAAAGAAAGCAGCTCTTGTGCCAGCACAGTGTGCTGGCCGTCCACTCACAGTGTCGTGGGAGTTCCTCTGGACAGTCAGAGTCTCCTCCGGTCTCCCCACCTCATCTACTCCTTCACCTGAGGAGGCTCGCAGGCCCCACGTGTCAGACGTGTGCTCAGGTGAGGGATGACACACCCACGATGCACAGCCCTGCCCTGACTGCGCTGTCCCTTCCACAAACCAGATGCTTCATCTCCAGAAACCCTCTGGCTTCCCAGGCAGCTTCAGCAGCTCCCAGACGAGCACGGCTGCACCTGACGCTCACGGAGTCACTGCCTGGAAAGGGCAGACAGACGATGAACGTCAGTGCCCTCTGAACACATCGGATGTACTAAAAACAGCAGAGTGTGGTTCAAGCAAAAGTAACGTTTTGTTTGGGAATACCAGTCGAACAGTAGGTGCTCAATAAAGCACCAAGGAAGGGAAATGAGCCTTCTCCACAAAACCACCACTGCTGCAGAGCAGCCTCCAGAACAGAGATGCTGACCGTTCTAGAATGAAAGGCAGCTCTAGATGTTAAAAAATGGCTCACTTTGCTTACAAATGTGAGCTTTTAGATATGATTTTCTCAGGTACTATCTGCCTTGACACACCATTCGTTTCTATAGCATACATCACTTCCGTATCAGGCTGGTGAATCAGCTGTTAGAAAAGAAAAACAAATGTTGGACGGCTGCACCGGACAGTGTTGCACAACTTACTTATTGCAGCACAGTTTTCCTTACTTGTCTTCTGTTTTCTGAGTGACCAAAAGGAAATCCTCAGGATAAGCCAGTCTCACGCTTGGCACACTGCTCTCTATCACACGGCTTCTATCACTCACAGCTTCTGCCTGGATCCAGCAGGGCCATGGAAACACTCCCTAAAGATCCTTTCCGCAAAAAGTTTCCAATGAAGAGGCTTGGCGGGGGAATAAGGGCGAGCCGAGAAGAGGAATTTTAGAAATAACGGGAAGAAATGAGCGCAGAAAGGAGGGAGGGGTGGAGTGAGCGTAGGCAGGCAGCCCTGCTCCTAGCCCTCAGGGCTGCAGCGCCCAGGGCACAGGGGTGCTACAGGCAGATGCCTCCCCTGAGGAAAGCGCTGGAGAGACCAAGTGGAGCGGCTCCTCCCAGAATGCACAGCTGAGCTGCAGCTTCCCTCAGATACACAACCCTGCCAAGGACCTGCACTGTTTACTCCAACGCGTTCCGCTGTGCGCCTGCCTCCCCCTCTGCAGGGCAAGCTGCAAGCCCCAACTCACTCAGTCCATTTGGTCTCGGACCCTCTGTAGGGTGAGGAAAGAAACCTCACCTGGGGAGCAGGATGCATTAGCCCTGCCTCTGGGCCTAATACCTCCTTATAAGGGTAATCTGGGGTACAAAGGGGGAGCGGTGTTAACTGAAAATGGTTTTGGTTACATACTGCTATTCTTAGTACTCATTTAAGTCATTTGTATATGCACTCAATAGCTTAAAGTACTATTTGATGAACAAATACAGAAAATAAGGATTTAAGTAATAGGGATGACACACATAAATATTTATAAAATGTCAAGAGTTACCTTTCACAGTATCATTAACACAGGAGGTAAAGTCTTAATTTCCTAAGACCTGCACAAAATTTCATACGCTACAGGCAGCACATATTCTTACACATATTATTCCTCATTACGCAGCAGGCTGAAGTCTACCCCTTCATTCACGATGGGTATTAAGCAAAGCTCAGCCACACTGTAGAGAAGTCAAGCATCTCAAGCTGTTTTTGAAGGTTTTAGGATTACAGTAAGTGAAACGTGCTATGCCAAGATTTGCTTTTGATAGTAAGTGTTATGGCTGTTATGAGAAGAAATGCCTCTCTCTAATTTTATGTCTCCCCTTCCAGCCTTCTCAATTGGCACATACTTGTGTGTGTGTGTGTGTGTGTGTGTGTGTATATATATATATATATATATACAGACACATTATAGATGTGTATAGATATGCATTATACATTACATATACACACATTACATATGTACACACATATTCATAAACACTCACTTTATAAACTATTTCAAATTTCAATGTGAAAGCCCTCTTTTAAAAATTTACTTGTATACTTATTCTTATGGTAAAAATTATATAAGAAAATTGCAGAAAATAAAAGCCAGAAAAAAGTTACCAACACTTCTAGCATTGAAAATTTCAATAACAACCATTTTTGTATTTTAGATAGAGCATCTTTGTTACATTAATACAATTTCCACAAAAGTAATATTTTCATATTTTAATAATGAAGTTGTATATATAGTCAAAATCATATATAAAAATAATTGACACTGTAAAAACCATATTCATAGAAATGAGGCGCCATGTTCAAACAAATAAAAATCATTTAGAAGGAAAAAATAATACAATAATATTCAAATCAAATACACTTATAAATGTTCAGTTTAGGGGAGAATTGACTTTGTTTCACATTCCTTTTGTCCTTACCTTTCTTTATGAACACGACTGAATTTGAAGCAGTGTCTGCATTAAAAATACTAAAGGAGCCTCCTGTAGAAATTTACATGGCAGAAAATTAAAAGCACAATGTGCTCGAAATTCCAGAAACTCGAAACTTAAAGCTGAGCCTCTGCACACATGGTCTACCTTCCCTGTAGTTCATAGAGAAAAGAGGCATCCTCCTTCCACATCTTAAAGCTTTATGATAGTTAATGAAAAGTCAGAGGTCAAATCAGCAGTTCTTTCCATGGGATAAATACATAGAAGTTATTTTAAGACTTCTGCTGACAATAATGTAATAACACAAATACAAATAATAGCTTCCAAGAAACAATAAACATTTAAATAAAATCAAGCACAAATGGGCATCCTGAATCTGAAAACTCAAAATCCACAATATTTTGAGTGCAGAAATGACTCTTAAAAGCTTTAGATTCCAGAGTACTTGGATTTAAATCCAGATTTTGGATTTAAGATTAGAGACACTCAACCCTAAAGTCTATGCAAATATTTGAAAACCAAACGCTTGCAAAATCAGACAATTCTGAATCCGAGCTCCTCAGGTAAGGGAAACTCAATCTGTAGAGCACTGACTTCTACACTTTTCAATGTGGTCATTTCTCAATCAGCTAAATTCTCAAGAATTGTTTGTGAAGATTTTCGTAGGTCCAGAATCCTACTTTTATGTTTGATTTTTCCTCTATGTAAGTTACTTTAGCTTTTTAAACATAGTAAAAGACAGAATTAAAATGCTAATACTTCTATTCGATGTTTTTGCTTTCTATAGTGGATTAAATGTTCATTCTTTTATCATTATAAGCTAGGAAAAAAGTTTAAAATTGTTCCACACTCCATCTACATGAGATCTTACCTTCTGGTTTGTTGTTCTTCCTCTTCAGCCATTTTTCTACAGTCTCTGCACTAACACTTTCAGATACAAATTCATCTAATACCTGGGGGTGAAGAGAAAGATACGCCTTCACTTTTTCATCTGTCAAACCTGGAAAAGAATTGAAGACAATAAAATTCACCTAAGCAATACCTTCATGAATGTGAAAGATGCAGTATGATGACACATTATGCTAAGACCCAATAACCTCTAATCTGCTGGAGAGGGCTGGAGAGCATTACAACGAGGAATTATTGTTTCCTGGAACGTGTTCCTGTTTGGGATGAAGGCTAAGTATTACAAGTAGCGAGGTAAGATAACTGCAAAGCATCATAAGTATAATTAATGCCACTGAACTCTGCACTCGAATCAATTAGAATAGTGTTTTCATGTCATAAATATTTTACTGCAATAAAAGCCTTCTTTAAATGAATGCAAAATTAGAACTTCAGTGGCATTAAATTATAGATATTACATCATGTTACATAACTGTATTCCAGCAGTAAAATATCAGGGTTACATATGAATCAATGCTGTGCCCTGATGTGAAGTATATTAAGCCTTACAAAATATTTATTTCTATAAAGTTTTAATAGTTGTTATAGTCAAAGCAAATAAAACTCTAGCAATATTACAAACAGAAGGACGTAGCTCCAGAACATCATAGGTGTCAAAAATGTTATTGATTAAATTTTCATATTTTATTGTCTTCTGGAACAAATTCTTAATTTTCTCAGGGCCAGCAAATTTAGTGGTATAATAAATATTCAATTCAGCATAAACATGGCAATCATTCATTAATATTTTATATATGTAGCCAGTTTCACTAATATAATTTTCATAGTCTAATAGTAACCACAGAATCTACATAGGACATTCAGACAAAGAACTTTCCTTGCTTTCATGATGAACATGTAAATTTACCTTGCTTTGGGTATTCTATTTCATTAAACAACCCCAAACACAACAGACTAATCAGGTGCATAATCATATATACAACCCACACACAAGTCATATAAAATAATAGTGTTCAAAAGAAGAAATATGAGACCCCTTTGTCTTCATTCACCCCACAAAAGCGCCTCAGTGATAGAGAATTCAAATTGAGATATTCTGCAAGGTGCTAAAAGTAGGAGACATTAAAGTAGAAGAACATGCTCCTGACCCAGCAAGTTATGGTCCCTTGACTCAAAACGCACAGGATGTTGAAGTAACCTGATAGCATACTTGACCTTCAAGAACTCAGACAATGAAAACTGCACACTCTCTTCAGTTATGTTCTGCACAGTGGGATGTATTCAACTCTTTATTCCTTCTTAAAACTTTCTTCTGTCATTTCCATGACATAACACTAAATGGTCATTACCCAAACTGTCTAATTGCTCTATACTTCTGCTTGCTCTTCAACAATCCATGATGATTATACCAAAACTGGTAACATAAATCTTACTATATTTTTAATATGCAGTCACTGGATATTCAAGCTTAAGTCAAAACTGAATGAGTCATCTCCTTTCCACTTCTTCTTCAAGAGATTCTCACTCTCAATTTTTCTTTTTGTATTCACTTCTCCATCTTCCCAGAAACCTAGCCTGAAAATATAAGGTCAAAACTGACTCACTCCTCTCTTTCATCTCATTTCATCTCAGTGTATTATACATAACTTACTTACCAAATTATGTATCAAATGAAAGACCTGCATTCAAAATGTGCTAAGAACTCCTGCAATTCATCAATAATAAGACAAACAACCCAGTTTAAAATGAGCCAAATATTTGTACAGACATGTCATAAAAGTTGCAGATATGCAGATACAACAAATAAACATATACAAGGTGTCTTCTAAAAATTCATGGAAAACTCATGAAAAAATTATCCATGGATTTCAAATTTTTTTCCATCAAAATACATTTATCTTTTGGGACTTGAGGCCAAGATGGCAATATAGCAACAGGACATTCTGAGTCATGGGGGGGCAAAATAGATGGTTAATAAGGAAAGGGAATACAAGCTGGTGACAGAGCCGTGAGAACTTAGCACAGAGAAGCCCAGGAGTCCAACAGAGACTGAGCAGGTCCATGCTGAGGTAGCAAAAAGTGGAAGAGCACAGTGCAGACATGGTGGTAAAGCCGAATGGGGAGACTGCCACCACTCCCTACCCCCCATAGGACCAGTGAGACATGAGGTCCAGAGTCCACGGAGCTGTGGACAGCAGCAGGCGGGGGAGTCTGGCAAACTGTTTTTAGTTCCAAATGGGAAGAACAGGAGAAAAAATGGAGGGGTCTGGCCCATCCCTGTCCATCTCCCTCCCACTCCACAATCAGACCTGCAGCTAGATGGGAAAAGCCATATTCTGGGTTTACATATACAGATGTAAGCAAGGGGCTACCACATTTGCCTCCCATGCACACGCCATCAATTGTGGGGGGCCACTTCACAACACTCCCACCCTGGAACAAGGATTACATTCAGAGAAATTTCCGCCCCACCACCACCATGCAAGCTGTACAACAAGAAGTAGTCCTAAATATTGAAATCAAGAGCTCGTCTCACGCATGATTGAGAAGTGAAGCTTGCCCCCCGCCGTGGGTGTGACTTAGTGCACCAGAGCTCTTGTACAGTCCCCATCATGAAGAAGTGAGAAGTGAGCAGGACTCCCAGAGGCAGGGCTACGTGATACCACTTGCAACGCACACACACACACACACAGCAGCTCATAGCAGAGGAAAATCTCACCAAAAGCACCAAGATATAATAAAGAGAAAAGCAAGAGGAACTGTCAAAAAAAAAAAAAAAAAACAACAACAAAGGAAAAAACCTTAATAAGAATAAGGAAGACAGTATGAGCCCCCCAAAGGAACACTACAACTCTTCTTCAATAATCGAAGGGGAAGAAGAGATTGAGGATATGCCAGAAATGGAATTCAGATCATTAATTGTCAGATTACTTAGAAGCAATCAGAAACAAATTTATAATCTAAATGAAAACTGTCCCCAAGAAATTGAGATATGAAAGAGAAGTCAGATGAAATACTAGAAATGAAGAATTCAATAAACCAAATAAAAAATGAAGTGGAAAGCCTTAACAATAGAGTGAGACAGAAGAAAGAATATCAGAACTAGAAGACAAATTTCTGAAAATAATACAGTCAGACCAAACACAAAAAGAAATTAGGAAATTGAAAAACTCAGTTGGAGATCTACAAGATTCTATCAAACAATCCAACATATGGATTCTAAGAATTCCAGGTGGTGTACAGAGAAAGGATTAGAAGGCCTTCTCAATGAAATACTAACAGAGAACTTCCCCGGTTTTTTGAAAAAACAAACAAAACTGACATACCATTGGCCCAACTAACCAAAAAATGGAGAAAGAAGACCCAAATCAATAAAACTAAGAGATCAAAAAAGGAAATGTAGTCTTCTTCCACTATCTTCCACTATAGATTCAGTTGTTTAAGAAAGGAGTCAGAAAATCAGTCTCTCTCTCTCTCTCTCTCTCTCTCTCTCATTCCTTTGAATATTCAATGTGTAACCACATTTGGGAAATACCAAATGGGATGACATAAAGGCCTTGCCTACATCAAAATCTAGGACACAGTGCTCTTCATAGTAGTCACCTACATTACTTGTCTGATTCTGAAGATCTTTTCTGTAATAATCTATAAAGAGTCGTATCAGTTTTCTTATTTGGACTTTGTAAAGCAGTCAAAATGAAAAAGAGAGAGAGATAGAGAGGAAAAAATAAAAAATAAAAAAAGGAAATGTAACAACAGACACCACAGAAATAAAAAGAACCATCAGAAATTACTACAAAGAGCCGTACACCAACACATCAGAAAACCTAGAAGAAATGAACAGATTCCTAGACACATATAACCTACCTAAACTGAGTCAGGAAGACATAGAAAACCTAAACAGACCACTAACCAAGACAGAAATTCAATCAGTGCTAGGAAAACTGGATTTCCATATGCAAAAGTATGAAGCAGGACCATTACCTTACACCTTACACAAAAATCCATTCAAAATGGATTAAAGACCTAAGTTCATGACCTGATATCATCAAGTTACTAGAGAGAATTGGGGAAACCCTGCAAGACACGGGTACAGGCAAAGACAGGCAAAGAATTCCTAGAAAAGACCCCAGAGGCACAGGCCATAAAAGCCAAAATTAACAAATGTTAATTATATCAAATTGAGAAGCTTCTATACAGCAAAAGAAACATGAAAGTAAAGAGGCAACTGACAGAATGGCAGAAATTATTTGCAAACCATTCAACTGAAAAAGGATTAATAACAAGAATATATAAAGTGATCAAAAAGCTCAACAACAACAAAACAAACAACCCAGTCAAGAAATGGGCAAAGGACTTAGACATTTCTCAAAAGAAGAAATCCAAATGGCCAACAGACACATGAAAAAATGCTCAGAATCACTAGCCATCAGGGAAATGCATTTCAAAACCACAATGAGGTTTCACCTCACCCTGGTTAGAGTGGCTCACATACAGAAATCAACAAACAACAAATGCTGGTGAGGATGTGGGGAAAAAGGGACACTAACCCACTGTTGGTGGGAATGCAAACTGGTAAAACCACTATGAAAGACAGTTTGGAGATACCTCAGAAATCTGAATATAGCTCTACCACACGACCCAGCAAACCCACTGCTTGGAATTTATCCAAGGGAAATGAAATCAGTAAATAAAAGAGTTATCTGCACCCATGTTTACTGCAGCTCAATTCACAATAGCTAAGACATGGAATCAACCTAAATGCCCATCAACAGAAGATTGGATAAAGAAATTATGGGATATGTACTCTATGGAATACTAAACATTGGTAAAAAAAAAATCCAGGCATTTGAAACAAAATAGATGAATCTTAAAAATATCACACTTAGTGAAATACGCCAGTCCCAAAGGGGCAAATTCCGTATGTTCTCCCTGATCTGTAATAACTAACAACACCTACAAAGAAACCTGTAGAAGTCATATTGACACTGTGAGAAGCAATGACCTGAACAGCCCCTGTCTTGACTGTCAAGGAATAATTTATTATTTTATTTTATTTTTATTACTTTTCTCTACTTAATACCATTGGTTGAA